CTGGGTTTATTTCTTTTCAATGGATGGTGTTTGTGCCACCCTTAGTTCTACCTTCCCTGATTCTTAAAAGGATATTTATCAATAAGCCCTTGTTTGATTAAATTTTACAGGAAACACAAAACATGTATTATACCTTGTATACACATATGGAAAGTTCAAGGTACCAATCCCTAAATAGGGATTGATGCTGTGATTGTCAGTTCTTACACAATCACCCTGTTTTTGCTTGTCCTTGCAGAATTATATGTGATATCCAGTAGCATTGTTTATTTCACACCATAACTGAATTGGACTTTCAACTGTCATTTCAATATATACTCAGATTGGGATTGTTGTTTCTGCATTTTATTGAGTCACGTTCTCCATGCACAATCACACCCGTCTCTGTACACTATCAACAGCCTGAAAAACAAAACACAAGTTCTGATGCTCTCTTAGTGGGAACCCCTGAACAGTTTTAACTGAGTAGCATGTAGCCATTGATCCTTGCTTTTAGGTCCTGATTCTATTCGTACTAGATCAATTGCAGCACTGGCGATTTGTATTACGTAGTAAGGGCCTTCCCATCATGATGCTGGAAACATGTTTTTTTCTGGGATTAAATGCTCCATGACTCTGCTGTTTTTCTTGCTCGCTTCCTCATGTCTGGAATAAGCTTTTACTTTAACCACATATACCGCTGAATTACCCAGTTTAGTTAGTTGTTTTCATACATAGCACGAAAGGGCTTGATAGCGTAAAGGCTTGTGATCTGCACTGCAAAACAAATTCATACTCCACCAAGGGAGGAATGTTATTAAGGCATTACAGATCCTTTTAGAGTCTGAGCATATTACACCAGCCAGTACTTGTTCCTTTTTACAGAGTGATAATGCCTCCGCGCCAGCAGCCAATTCCACATACAGCGCTGAGCGTGTACTGCATCTGCACTGCACAGGTTCAGCCTAAACCGAGGGAGCCCAAATTGCAAATTCTGTGACTGGGGTCCCTTTTTCAGATGACCCATCAACATATATTGTCAGAACCTCAAGGTGCAGCCCTTCAGAATTTAAATTAAGCACTGCATGTGATGGGTTGTACCCCCGGGGCGTAGTCTGGGAGCCGTGGGAACTGCTGTGCCCTATAACCCCCCTAGCTGGGCAGGCCTCACTTCCCACACAAGAAAACTCCTGGAAACACCTGAGGAATAAAGACTGAACTGGGGGGATTTCTAGCCTGTGTATGGGAACTTCGTGGACTGCTTGTGTCATCAGTCAGGGTGAGAAATTGCTAATTCATGTCCAATCTATCTAGTATGTTAGGCTTAGTTTGTTTATTTGCTAGGTAATCTGCTTTGATCTGTTTGCTATCAGTTATAATCTCTTAAAAATCTATCTTTCTGTAGTTAATAAACTTGTTTTATGTGTTACCATAAACAGTCGCTGTGCCACACTGCACGTTGTAATAGGGGTGAGGGCCACTTTTCCAGGACACTCATGTGGAGTACCACAATTAACAGTCCTGCAGGCAAAGGTGAGGGTTGTGTCATAGGACAGACTTCAATTTGGTGCTCTTCCAGTGGCAAGGACCACTGTGTCAATCTAGGACTAGACGCTGTACCTTCTTTGATTTTACCAGACAAAAAGATACTTTAAGGGAGTATGAACAGTGAACAGTTTTGTGTCTCCTAACTCTATCAGATATCTAAAATGTGTCAAAACATGTTTTTCACAGGGCAGTATCCTAATTTTCAACTCAATTCAGTACCTTGTAAACATAAGCAATACATTGTTGTTTTTCCTGTCATGATAGTTCTGAGTTAACACAGCTGAAATGGTTGTGTCCCTGGTTGCTACAAACAATGCAAAAGGTTTTGTATGATCTGGTGTGAAGAACTGGAGTTTGTGTTAAAACCTCTTTACACTGCTTGGGTTTGCTGGGATGTGTCAGTTCCCACCTCCCTTTTCAGGAGCTAGTACAGGGTGCAGTGATTGCTTTGTAGTCAGACATGAAGTCTTGACAAAACCTTGTCATGCCCAGCAGGGGATAGCAGCGCTGTTTCTGAGGTACAGACGGACAGCTCCAAAAATCACTTAACTTTTTATTTGTCTGGAGCTTGCTGGCCAGGTTGTAGGGTTAGTCCCAGAAAGGAAACCACCTGCAAACAGGGTTTACAGTGCTTTTAAATGGCTTTCCCTGTCAGCAGTACACATCAGAATATCGTCTACATCAGGTATCAGAGGGGTAGCCGTGTTAGTCTGAATCTGTAAAAAGCAACAGAGGGTCCTGTGGCACCTTTGAGACTAACAGAAGTATTGGGAGCATAAGCTTTCGTGGGTAAGAACCTCACTTCTTCAGATGCAACTCTGCACCCTCCCTGTGGTATTGGACTATATACTGGATCTCAAGAGGTCAGGGCTATCCCCCAGTCCGTAAAGGTAAACCTTGCAACTATAATAGCTTTCCATCAGCAAATAGAGGGATACTTGGTTTTTGCCCATCAAACTACAAAGAGATTCCTCAATGGCATAGTGAACCTCTATCCCCAACCCGGACAACCCACTCCAACATGGGACCTAAATCTAGTTTTTAAGAGCCTGACTAGACTGCCCTTTGAACCTATGGTCACTTCTTCACTTACATACCCATCAATGAAGATGGCATTTCTGGTGGCCCTCACCTTAACGAGGAGAATAGGGGAGATAGCAGCACTAATGGCATCACCCCCACCCCTCCACAGAATTCTTTAAAGATGAGGCTACTCTTAGGCCAGATCTGAAGTTCATCCCCAAGGTGACCTTGTCTTTTCACATAAACCAGCTGATTTATCTCCTAACCTGTTATCCAGAGCTTCATCATGATACCCGGGCAGCTATACTGTCTACACTAGACATTAGGAGAGCCTTACCCTTTTATCTGGACAGGAAAAAGGCCTTTAGGAAATCTCCTAATCTTTTTCTGTTCATTGTGGAAAGGTCAAAAGGCGCAGCAATATCGGCCCAAAGATTCTCCAAATGGGTCTCAAACATAAGAACGGCCATACTGGGTCAGACCAATGGTCCATCTAGCCAAGTATCCAGTTTTCTGACAGTGGCCAATGTCAGATGCCTCAGAGGGAATGAACAGAACAGGTAATCATCAAGTGATCCATCCCCTGTTGCCCATTCCCAGCTTCCGGCAAACAGAAGCTAGGGACACCATCCCTGTACATCCTGGCTAATAGCCATTGATGGATCTATCCTCCATGAACTTATCTAGTTCTTTTTTGAACCCTCTTATAGTCTTGGCATTCACAACGTCCTCTGGCAGGGAGTTCCACAGATTGACCATGCGTTGTGTGAAGAAATACTTCCTTTTGTTTGTTTTAAACCTGCTGTCTATTAATTTCATTTAATGATCCCTAGTTATTGTATTATGAGGAGTAAATAATATTTCCTTATTTACTTTCTCCACACCAATTATGATTTTATAGACCTCTGTCATATCCCCCCTTAGTTGTTTCTTTTCCAAGCTGAAAAAGTCTTATTAATCTCTCCTCATACGGAAGCCGTTCCTTACCCCTAATAATTTTTGTTGCCCTTTTCTGAACCTTTTCCGATTCCAATACAGTATATCTTTTTTGAGATGGGGTGACCACATCTGAACGCAGTTGGCAGGAAACCCTACGGGGTGCAGGTAGGTTTTTTCTGGAAGGAGCAGGGAAGGGAAAAGGAGTTAGTATGGAGAATAGAAATGAGGAAGCAAGACACTTTAGGAAAGAATGGGGTCCATTCCTGATTAGCTTGCAAGCTCTGCCAGTCATGTCAGAGCTTGGAACGGCAGAAGGGATGGATACCTGTCACTGAGCAATTCTTAAACACTTAAAAAGTCCTACTGGAATTTCTTGCAGAAAACGTTTACCTAGAGTTAGTGATCGAAGTATCTACCCCTCAGCCAAAGACTCTTAGAGAATGTTAAAGTTTCCTCAGAATGCACTAACCCTGAGGCTTGTCATGTCAAATTCAGGCTCCATTTTACAAAAACATCCAAATGTTGGGAGTATGCAAATAGCCTTTGCTCAGCCTCCATAGTGACACCATGGGAACAATCAGAAACCTTATCCTGCCAGCACACGAATTTATTGAGAGAAATTTTGAGTATTTTGTCACTGGTGATGTATCTGAGTAATGGATAGATAAGAAGAATAAGCTGTATTGGGATAGTATGAGAAGGGACAAAGCTAAAGTTGTTTGCATGACCACATCTGCAATTGCTAATGTTCCAAAAAAATGCGTGTGTGAAGTCAGTTCTTAATTTGGGCTTTCTAATGGTTTTTCATTTTCTTTGTTTTTTGATGATATATAATTGTCAGTTTGACAAAATAGAGTCAATGAAAACTCTATTTTGTGTAAAGACAAGGTATTCTCCTTTTGTAAATAGTAATATTCATAGCAATACTCCTGGAACTCACCAGTATAAACTGGAAAAGTGTTGTCTTAATTTGCTTTAGTGTCATGAAAGATAAATGACACTTTCAGATAGTTTTTGCATACAGTGTTAGCAATAGGACATGCTGTACCTATTGATACCAAACTAAAGTGCATTTCATTGTGTTTGATACTAGAAACCTCCACTGTTGCAGATGATTTTATTAGTATTCACTCTAATTTTATTTAGCTTTTCTTTGAGAGGTTAGTTTTTTTTTTAAAGCCAGTATCACTAAGTATATTGTAAGTACATGCTTTCTTATAAAAGAAAGGCAGAATACATGAAGGTAGAAACATAATAGAAGTATGTTTACAGTGGTTTTCAGGTCTAGGATACTAATTTCAAAGGAAATAATGCCTTCAGAATACACTTTAAGAAAGGTTTTTCATTTTTGTCAACTGAATAAAACACTGGATGGGTTATTTTCAGGGAGAACTGTAGTAACATACCACACTAGCCTGCCTAAATAGTTTAGGCATGCAGTGGGAAGAGAGACTGAACAAGTAATAATTAAGGATAATGAGAACTTTCTGACAGAACATTTTTATATGCAGGAGAACTCCGGCACATTACCAAGCTAAAACCTTGGAGCCTCTTCGATGTGCTTGTGGAAAAATATGGTTGGCCTCATGAAGATGCTGCACAGTTCACAGATTTCCTGATCCCCATGCTAGAAATGGTTCCAGAAAAACGAGCTTCAGCTGGAGAATGCCTTAGGCATCCATGGTTGAATTCTTAGCAGAATCTTCAAACGTAACATTGAACCAGCAACCACTTCCAGTGCATCGGACCTAAATGGTGACTGTCACAAATTCTTTAACAGGATCACAAGTGAGCTGGCTTCATCCTCAGACCTTTATTTTGCTTTGAGGTACTGTTTGACATTTTGCTTTTTGTGCACTGTATTCTTGGGGAAGGGTAGTCTTGTCTTCAGCTGGTAGTTTACTGACCCACTCTCTTCAGAAAACACTTAACGTGTCTTTAAGCATCATTTCTTGTGTTGTGTGGCATTCAAATGTCAAACTTTTGAACAAACTATTCCCCCTTCCCCCCCCCCCCATCCCTCTGTGTTTTGGCAGGTTTGTAACTATTTATGATGAAATATTTTAGCTGAGTATTATATAATTTACAAGTTTGACATTATCAAGTCAGAACTGAGAAATGGCAAGGAATTGTACTATTTTATTTTCTGACAAAGGGACATCATTCTTGTATTATAGTGTATGTAAATGCACCCTGTAAATGTTTATTTCCATTTAAATATGGGATGGGGACTCGGATTTCAGAGTAAAGCTACTAAGTTTAAAGAGCTTTGTAGCATACAAATTGCATGTAGCGGACTTCAAGCTGCTTTAAGGATTTGTGTAAACTTTCCATTTTGTAGAAGTTCCTGTACATTAGATTATAAACAAAGTGGCTCTGGTTTACAAGACTTCATTCCACAAATGGCACTTTAAAGGAAGGCTAGACTTCTTTCTAATGATAAAGTATGCATTATCATTTAGCACTCCCTTTTTGAATTTTTGCCTATTTTAAGTGCTTTTAAGGAGAATATAGCAATTTCCCTTACAATGTGATAGTGAAGATATGGTACCATATGGTGTTGCCTTTTTATAAGCACTGTAATTTGTACTATACCCAAAAGATTGAAAGTGAGCATGGGAAATATTCTGTCTAGAATTACTGATAATATGTGCTTGGGATACAAAAAGGATTGACCAAAAAGCAAATATAATTTAGAGGACAAAATAATTAAACTTTTGAAACAGCTCATGTTCATTCCATTCATAGCTTTACATGCTCCTAAAACAAATTGCACTAGCTTTTTTCCCCCATGAATTGTCATATATAGCAATTAGTTTGCCCTTTGTAAATTGCGCGCAAAATTGTAAATGTTTTGAGGGGGTGAAAAAAGCTAAATAGACTCAAAGTCATAGGCAATACAGATTTTAGAATGTAAAATATGGAGGTGTATTTTGCCCTCTTTTAGAAGTCAGTGGGATGAATGTAAGTTTATTTCTGGTTTTACATAATTATGGTGCCACTTTTTTGACTGTCCATTTTAAATTTATTCACATGCCTTTGCAATAACTAGATTGTGAGAAGATAGCTCTGTGTTGTAACAATAACCAATTGTTTGAGGTGCTTGCAGTTGTCTAATTAAAGTGTTTTGTTTTTTTCAGACATTGTACTGGTCATTCAAATGCTTGATAATGGTAAATCCAACTGTTTTGATAGTCACATTTCTCAGTAGGTTTTTCAGCCTAGCATACTGGAAATGCCAGTTGACAATTCCTTTGTAAAATTTCTGTATACGTGCTGAAAATATTTTACTTAATACATTAGAGCTAAAACTGCACCTGCAACAGTTAACTCATTGCTTGTTCAGACTCAAACAAGTTCTGTGGAATGCCATTTCTAAGTTAAAGTAACCTTTGCTTGCTTTTTGCCCTTCTGTGTATACCTCGAATAATTAAAAATGCAGATTATTTAAAAGCTCTTGCTAGAGTACAACACACTATGCTATTCAAGAGACTTTCAGCCACATCTGTCACTGCTAACATTTGGGTTTCAGGGCAGAGAGCACTGGCAGCCATCTACTTAAAAAAAAAGCTTTCCAATACGAAGTCCTTATTAAAGGCAGCAAGGATAATATTGCTAGTGTGAAGACAAAATGCTGCACTGAAAGCAAGAGAAGACAGAGGTAAAATTTTCTGCTTCACTCTGGAGTTGCCTTTAGGTTCATCGTACTGCAACAAGTGAAAAATTTTCAATACAGGAAGGAAAGAAAAACTTACGAACTGAAATATTAGTTAAAACATATGTCACTTTCTAGGCACCAAACCAGATATTCCAATATAGTACAGCTCTTTGCACTACTGTAGCTATTTTTATAAAAGTTACTGGTGTCCTAACATTCAGTTAATGGTGGTAACTTAAATAGTACCATTTCCGACATTTACTATGATATCTTTTACCCATTTCTTTGAAAAGCTGTAGCTACTCAATTTAAACTGACAAAATGTTTGACTTTGTCTCGTACAAAATATAAGTTCTTGCTTCCAAGCTAGCTAATGATTCACTCACTTATTTTATGAATGCAATGGCTTTGAACACCACAGTAAGGTAATAAATTGTGGATCTATAGGGTTGGGATAAGGAGGTTATTTGTACAAAACTCTGGTCAGTGGTGTTGACTGTAAGCTATCTGATCGTTTAATTAGTTGATAGTCTTGGCCAATTCCTAGTAGACTTTGGGTGCTAGACTCAGGAGAAAAAACAAGGATGTGAATAGTAATGGAACTGAATTATCTTTCCTGGAGTAGTAAGAAAAAATCAATTTCTAATGCTGTTACCAGTCCAATGCCTTCTTTCACCAGTAGTAGTTGCACATAAAGACAAAGCAACAGTTCCTCTTTATTCAGTCTGATATACTAGCTTTTTATAAACTGGTGGATGTTCTTGATCCTTAAAAAAAATTTACATCCACATGCCATCAGTTAGTTTCACAGGGCTAATTAAACTTTTACTGTTTCTTTAAAATTACATGCAGCCAACTGAATTAGTTTTAAGATCTAAAATAATTAGTCCTACTACCAGACTGGTATTTAATAAGATGATTAAAGGCTTGTCTTTATGTTCTATAGCATAAAAATTGGGGCACACATTTATTCTGTACTCAAGCATAGTGGCCATATCTTAGCTACCATACAGATATCTTATCCTAGATATATCGTCAAATTAAAACACTGAACTTGCATTTTAACAAGTTTTCTGACTGTATTTATTCATTTTTTGTTAAGTCCATTACCCCCATGTTACTCTTGAGCCACAAAGACATACCCATCTCCTCTCTTTTGGTAATAAAGTTCATAAATCTTTCATTTTTATGTTGAAATGTCTTCTCTTCACAATGTAGGTGGGTCATTTATTGTAAGTACTGCACTATAACAATGTCTTAGTGCATTTCAGGAATTATTTTACAAAATCTGACAAACCTAAAAGTTCAAAATAGAATTCCAACGTGTATGAATAGGAAACATACCTAGATAGGTACTAAAATATGTGCAAATGTTACTGTAGTGTATCTTCAAGATCAGAATAACCAATATTTGAATGGTATGGATCTAGTCTGTAACTGTACCAATGTATGAATATTTATCATGTACATAAGCTGTGTGGATTAGTTTTGTATAATGTAACATGTTTCAGTAAACTGAAACTACACTGATATTCCAAGTAGCTTTTCCTCATCTCTAATCACTAAGATTAGCAGGAAAAGAACACACTAACCTTTAATGCAATGGTTCTCAAACTTATTTCATCATTGCCCCCTCTTCTTTGTGTCTGTAGTAGTTTACATCTCCCACCTTCAGAGCTGGGCAGCCAGAGAGCAGTTGCTGGCTGGTACCTGGTAGCTGTGAAGGCAGCACAGAATTAAGAGTGGCATGTATTGTCACCCTTACTTCTGCACTGCTGCTGGCAGCGTTCCTGCGTGCCCAACCAGCAGCTGCTGCTCTCAGCTCTGAATATGCACAGTAAGTTCCCCACCCACCCTGTAAAGCTTCTCACATCCCCCCCAGTTTGAGAACCTCTGCTTTAATGGACAGCTTCACAGATGGAATAGGCAATTGGTCAGCTTTCCTCAATCAGTTTTTCATGCAGGAGGAATAAAGTATCCACAAAATGGGAACACAGATTATTTCTGAAGAGGAAATAAATTACTGCCATCACTTCTAATTATAGCACGCACAAGCCTGGCAGATTTTTAAATAGCTGGACACATAGTCACTTATAACCTTATTTTTCCTTAAATACACAACTCTCAGGACAGTGTGTTAAAACTGACATAATTGTGATTTATTAACATGAATTAAAATGCCCAACCAGTGCTGCAATGTGACAGTATATTAAAAAATTAAAGATCATATACTGTACTACTTCCACAAAGATCACACATTTTTGCAAAAGAGACTTGTCATTATGTACAGTACTATATCAAATGAAAGAAGCCTTAAGCAATTTTACACGCAAAAGAAATAGTATTTACAGCAGTTGTCAGAGATATTAGAAACAATCTATACATTAAATTACATTTCTGCAAATAACTGATGAAACAAAAGTCATGTCCACGCCAAACTATAAAAATCTGTATTGCATTGTTTTCTAGCTATATGCACACAAAGAACTGTTGACAGAAGAAAATGAAAAACCTATTCGTGCCATTTCTATCAGTGTACTTATTTAATTACATATGTATAAAAAGTAATATAGAAAACATTCACTAAATGAATTTAACTGCAACAATAAAATTTAAAGATTATGCAGCATCAAATCTACTGCCAGAAAAAACTGGTGGAATGTTCACTTACAAAATAAAAAGAAATACCTAATACTGGCTGAACAGCACATTTTCAGGAATTTTAAAAAAAGCAAAAAAATGGAAAGAATACAATGAAAGAGCACTGGTGTTTGCTTTTATACAAAGTATCATGTACAAGCTTTAAAAAGTACCTTGAACAGGTACATATGAAATATACACAGTTTATCTTACAGAAACATTTTTAAAATGTTTAGGAGCAAGGATCCCATTTTAATGCCACCCTGAACCATGGTAATTATTTTGAAAAGTTGGTGGCACCTGTGCTCTGTGAATAGGAATTTGTCCAGGCACTGGAGATGCCTGCTGAGGTCCTTGCACCCCATGAGGAAGGGTTACAGAGCCAGGATGAGGACAGAACCCTGAAGCTGTAGGTGTTGGAATACTGTTTGGTCCTTGAGGTTGGATATGAGGACCTTGACAGTGAGGTCCTGTTCCAGCAGGCTGATGTTGAGGTCCAGGTCCCAAGGTTGTATGATGTGGGGCTTGTGATGAATAGGAAGATACACTTGAAGGAAAATGTGGGGGTCCTTGATGTGATGGATGGTGTAACCCTTGTGCTGATGCTGGGTGATGCCCAGAGCCTAAAACATTGGAAGGTGGAGGCGGTGGGGGTGGAGGAGCTGAATTTACTACATGCTGGTGTTGTGCTTGCAGACCTTGATGTCCTGTTGTGGAATGAGGAGGTTGATGATGGGGTAGAGGACCTGGGGGTGGAGGTGGTGGTGGCAAATGGTGACCAGCAGCTTGAGAATGAATGTGTGATCCAGGGGCTACTGCCACGGCATGAACTGGACCTACTACGTGTGCTACAGAATGCTGCTGATGGGAACTTTGCTGCTGTACAAGATGAGGTCCTGGAGCAGGTGGTGGTGGAGGAGGAGGAGGAACAGCAGATGCTGAAGCCTGGTGATGAATACTGGGGTTCTGAGATGGCAAAAAATGCCCTGCAGTTACATGGTGTCCTGGAACTGCTTGCTGGCCCGTAGTGCCAGGAACTGCTTGATTTGGTCCAGAAGAGAAAACAGTTTGTTGGGGTATGCTACCCTTTAACTGACTATAACTCTGAAAGTTTCCGGAGGGCTGCTGGTTTTGATAGTAAGTAGAAGAAGAAGGGGGTGGGGGAGGAGGTGGGGGTGGTGCACTGCTGTTCAAATTTTGTTGGTTAAACTGACTATAAGTTGCTGAAGATTGTCCTGAAGGTGCCTGGGTGAACAACTGTCCACTAGCCTGCTGCTGACTACCAGGCTGAAGGTTCTGTGCTGCTGGATAAAAACTTCTGTGTGTTTCTCTCTGAGGTGTTCCAACTTGAGGTGACTGTGGATGATGAGGTCTGTACGGAGATCCTAACTGTTGTGAGTGAGGCTTTGGTGAAAGATAACCATGCTGTACAGGTGTGTGAGGAGTAGATGATTTTGGAGGATTTTCTACATGAGGTGAAGGGGGACAGTGCAGTTTCAAAGGTGCAGAAGGCAGCTTTTGTGAATGAGAAAGTTGCTCTGTTGAACTACGCAAATGCGACTGAGATGGGTGAGTTTTTGAAAGTACTTGGACATTATTTGTCAGTTGTTTTTGTTGCAGCTCAGATTTTAGATGATTCACATTCTCAGCCTCTGGAGTATTACCTGCAGTTTCCCAGTGAGAATCTGGTTTTGTGGGTGTTCTCCCAATTGACTGCGCTGAAACTACAGGACCAGGTGAAGAAGGCTAGATAGATGAAGAGAAAGAACAAAGTCAGTGTAACTTTACTTCAAAACATTTTAAAATATTAAAACCACGGTTTCTTAAAAATAACTTTCACC